TCTCTCTTAATGTGTCTCACTATTTCTCTCGCTATTTCTTTCTATATATTTAACTTTTACTCTCTCTCTCTCTCTCTCTCTCTCTCTCTCTCACTCCTCTCTCTCTCTCTCAACCCCTCTTTCAATTTGTCAAACTCACTTCGATTAAAATATCTATATATTTCTTTCTTCCTATCATCGAGCCTTATGGAAACACCGGTTGTCGTCCGAAGTTAGACAACGTCGAGTATGGTCATTGCCGAGATGGGTGACCGCTTGGGAATATCAGGTGCTGTAATCTTGGATGTGCGGCTGGTGTAATGGATATTAGTTCAGAATGAGTAATCGTACAGCCGAGTTCTAATTCCAGTCAGGTCCGTTATATGCACTTACGTGCAAACACCCTTGGGAAAAGTATGAATCCACTTCTTATCTCCCCAGTTATGGATTAAATAGTAGGACTTGTATCAGAAAATCATTATGATCTTCCCCACCCCGCCAATTTTTTTTTATAATCCCAAAGTATTTGCCGGCTTTAAATAAGCTTCAAAATGTTGATAAGCCGTAAAAAAATCAAGCAATTCTGTCATCTAATTATCACTTTCATCCACCTTCCTTTGTCTGTCTGTCTCTTTCTCAAGGATCTTATGTCGTATTGTTTTTTTAATGAATTGAGTCAGAATTCTGATCGAGATTGTTTATCTCTTTCGTGGCAGTACCTTTAATAAAGGCATGTACCCAAATATCCCTGTGCGCTTTCCAAAGTCTTACAGAAAGAAGAAAAAAGAAAGCGTGTACCTAGGCAATCCACAATTCTACAATTAGCTTATCTGCCCGGTCCATATTAGCTAAATATATGGCATATCTATTTTTAGCCAAAAGGAATGAAGTCGTGAATCAAGAGAAAGTGAGTCTATCTATTCCCCACTCTCCTTTTCTTCCCTCGCTGTTTACTTCTCTACCTCCCACTCTCTCTCTATATGAATAAAAAAACAAGAGGAAGTCTTTTCTTTACCAACGTGTCTCGTCTTCTCATAGTATTTATGAAGACAAATGTAAGGATTTCACTTTGCAACAAATATAAAAAGAAGTAAAATCTTTATTTTTTTTTAAAGTTTAAGGAAGTTCATAAATATGGTTAAGACTAACTTGAAATCACGGTAATCTATGGAAGACAATAAGTGGTGTAATTTAATACCTAATAAACGAAAGCGAGTAAATGTTGTAGCTGAATTTTTTTTAATGTAATTATTATTTATTTTAGTTTAAATTACTTCAAGAAATTAATTTATGTATTTATTTATTTTAAACATTAGGAACATTTTGAATTTACCAGTTTTCGTTTAATATTTTCAGATTTTTATGGTCATCTATATTGGCTTGGGAAGGAAGTAATTCTTTTAAGAAAGGTGATATTTGATAAAATCCGAAGCGTAGATTTACATTTTGGTAAGATTCGATAGAGGCACTCATAAGAATTTTCCGTCTAAGTTACTTTTCTCTTTTAATAAGTGTAACTAATGCGTTATATATATATATATATATATATATATATATATATATATATATATATATATATATATATATAAAAACAGACCACTTTAAGGTACCATTATAATAATTTATTTCACCAGAGCCGGATCATCAGATAGCACTTCCAAAAATGAAATGAAAAGCTCATCTGATGACCCGGCATCCTTTAAAAGGGCTCTGGTGAAATAAATTATTACAATGATATCTTAAATTGGTCTGTTTTTCTTTTAAATATTAGCTCTGGATTTACATTGAGCTCTCAGGATCTCATCCTCCTTGGGATTACCCATACAGATTACCAAGTTCTTCATAACTTAAATATATATATATATATATATATATATATATATATAAATAATGTATAAAGTGTAAGTGTCGAGTGCCCCACCTTCGAATCTATGATACGGTGCCACCCATTCTACTACATCTTAATTTTCATAAGGTAGTATACATATAAAATACAAATTTAATTGTAATCTAATTGATCACATGCAATATAGGTGAACAAGAAAAATTGAAAAGAAAGACAATGTATCTAAATACAAATTAGAGACCTGTCATAATAAATATTTCCATCTTAAATACATCAACAATGTTTTGCGGCAATTTTTAACATCAACGTGAGATTTTTATTGTTAAAAAGTTGAATAATTTAACACATTCAACATTATGGATTAGAAAGTGAATTTAGATCGAAGTTTTGGTCGACGTTATATGTATGTATGACTAATATATATATATATATATATATATATATATATATATATATATATATATATATATATATATACTTGCTCCATATGTGACCTCCTTTGTAAATTACTAACGGGTCTTAAATGCCACTTAAGATTATCGCACAAACTTTCATAACTGAATCAATAAGCTGTCAGATCCGAATACGTCGAAACCGACGGGAGAGTCTATCATATATATATATATATATATATATATATATATATATATATATTTGGCAGTTAATTTCGAAAACTTCGGAACCCAAAATTTCAGGGTTGCAGGTCCAGATGTTTTGAATTAGCTCACATAATCGGCCTAGTTCCAAAATGGTATGATATGTTAGTCTACGGCCTCTAAGAGTAAAGCTGAAAACACGGACAATTTTCTTTTGAAACACTGGAATTTGAGAACAGTAATTATTTCATTTGAAGAAGAGCTATTAAAAGTTAGAGAGTTGTGTCCCTGTAATTGCTTTTATATCAGTAGAAGCCAAGATGGCGGAATCCTAAAACAATCGCAGTAATGAAAATTTGGAAATCCAAAATTTCAGGATTGCGCAGACGGATCCGTCTCAGAATGGTTTTAATTTGCTCACGGGGTCAGCCTGATTCCAAAATGGTATGATATGTTGGGGTACGGCCTTTAGAAGTAAAGTTGAAAAGGTGTGACACAGTGACACACTGACATTCGCATTTATTATATAGATTTGTGTCTGCGTGCGGTCATAGCTATCTCGGTCTATCTAATTGTAAGATATAAGACTTCGATGTGTCATCTCCTTTTTAGTATCAGAGGCCACCATAGTTATCTATAACTCCCTGTCTTTTTTCTTGTTGCTGTTCTAAGTCATTTTTCCCCCATTAACATATCTATTTGTTGATTGCTTGATTCTTTTTCTACGGCTTATCAACCCTTTTACATATTATTTAAAGGCAGAAAATATATTTTTATATTGTAAGAAATTTTTTGAAGATGCAGATAATAATGATTTAGTAAAACAAGTCTTACTAATTAACCCATAGCTGGAGGAGAAAACGTGGATTCATACCTATTCAGAATATTGATAAACAAACAAGAAATTAAGTTCTGTCTATATTTCTGAGATGAGGTATTATGTACACTATTTACATTATTCGGACTATTGTCCTCATCTTTGTCGCCATATTTATCACCCTTCAATATCTGTCTATATTTCTGAGATGAGGTATTATGTACACTATTTACATTATTCGGACTATTGTCCTCATCTTTGTTGCCATATTTATCACCCTTCAATATCTGTGTATATTTCTGAGATGAGGTATTATGTACACTATTTACATTATTCGGACTATTGTCCTCATCTTTGTCGCCATATTTATCACCCTTCAATATCTGTCTATATTTCTGAGATGAGGCATTATGTACACTATTTACATTATTCGGACTATTGTCCTCATCTTTGTCGCACAGTGGATAAAGGCGTTGGTTAGATCCAGTGACAGGACCCAAAGAGTGTGAGTTCAATACCCGGTTAAGGCAGTAGAGAACTTTCAGAGGGAAATTAACAGGAGATAGCTGGTAACTGACATCCATCAAACATGGCACGTGGAACTAGAATATTTTCCCCCCAGTGAGCGAAATATGGGGTTCAGTTCGACATTCCAACAACCTGAAGAATGCCGGAGCGTACAACGGCCGAAACGTTGTGTTAAATACGGCGACAAAGATGAGGACAATAGTCCGAATAATGTAAATAATGTACATAATAACTCATCTCTGAAATATAGACTGATACTGAAAGACCTAAACGTTGTAATAAATATGGCGACAAAGATGAGGACAATAGTCCGAATAATGTAAATAGTGTACATAATACCTCATCTCTGAAATATAGAGATACTGAAAGACCTAAATGTTGTGATAAATATGGCGACAAAGATGAGGACAATGGTCCGAATAATGTAAATAATGTACATAATACCTCATCCCAGAAATATAGACAGATACTGAAAGGCCGAAACGTTGTAATAAATATGGCGACAAAGATGAGGACAATAGTCCGAATAATTAAATAATGTACATAATACCTCATCCCAGAAATATAGACAGATACTGAAAGGCCGAAACGTTGTAATAAATATGGCGACAAAGATGAGGACAATAGTCCGAATGATGTAAATAGTGTACATAATACCTCATCTCCGAAATATAGACAGATACTGAAAGGCCGAAACGTTGTAATAAATATGGCGACAAAGATGAGGACAATAGTCCGAATAATGTAAATAGTGTACATAATACCTCATCTCTGAAATATAGACAGATACTGAAAGACCTAAACGTTGTGGTAAATATGGCGACAAAGATGTGGACAATAGTCCGAATAATATAACTAGTAAACATGAAATTATAATGTGGATATAAAGTGGACGATTAATTCTATATAACAATCATTTTGTGGCCAGTGTAGTTTCGACATATTTCTATATCCAAAGAATTTAAATAAATCTAAGACGTGCCTGTGCAACTAATCAGTATTTCATTAATTGATTAGTTGGTTTTCTACGGCTCATTAACTTTTTGTAGGTTATTTAAAGCCAGAATTTTTTTTTTTTAGATTGTAAGATTTTTTTGTCTTACTAATTAACCCATAGCGGGGTGGAGAAGAGTATTTGTGCGTAAGTGAATTTAACGAACCCACCGGTAATTAGAATTCGGCTGTCCGATAAAAATTCCTTACATTATCCATTACACCACCTGCACATCCAACTATACAGCCCCTGGTATTCCCAAATGGTCACCCACCTAGGTACAGACCAGACTCGACGTTGCTTAACTTCGGTAATTGTACGGGAACCGCTATTTCAGTGTGATGTGGCCGTAAGCCGTACCACCACTACCAGATCCAGGCTTACAGTACCTGGTATTCCCAAGAGGTCACCCACCTAGGTTCAGCATTGATTAACGTAATATGGCCCTAAGCATAGCTATTTGTCGTTGTTTTGCTATTCATTCCCTCAAGCTTATTAGGTCGCTAGCTGTTCCTCGTTATTTCTCTTGCCATCAATATCTTGTGAGTGTTAAATTCTCCAAGCGCTCTATCCTTTATTTTGCATCCCAGAAATTTCAATTGTCTTTTTCTTTTCGAAGTATAAGTTTCCTTGTTGTTTTCTTGTTTTGCTTCAAACTTCCTAGTTAATCATATGCTCTGTCCAGGGTATTTTTGTTAGCATTCGTCGGTGCAATCACTTATCTGATTCTCTGTTACTTCTGTTGTCTTCATCAGTCTTCATTGGTGAGAAAGTTTCCCAATTATCACTGACAAATAGGAGATTAGTTTCAACGGACATTTTCCTCTCTCTTCGTGCCTTGCTCAGTTTCCGAAAAGCATCTTTCACTATTTAATTTCAATACTTATTTGATTTTGACATCCCCGTTACGTAATTCGCAACTTGTTATTGCCTCTTTTGCTGACAAACATATATTCGGTCTTTTTTTTTTTTTTTTTTTAAAAAAAAAAAAGATAATGTTTAGTCCTCATTACTTTTATTTACAACCTTGTCTGCAGGTATTTTTTTCTTAATTTCTTATCAACACTTTGTGTCATCTTACGTTAAGACTGTATCCGCCAATAATAAACCTTAAATAAAACCAGTGACCTCATCGCTTGCTGTAAACGACACTTTGAGACGAGTACTTCCGTAGAGGTCAATGGCAGTGGCCCCGCCTGGAATGTAGATTACGAGTTTAGAGAAAACTTAACCGAAGGCCACAAGCACTTCCGAGTTAATTAGTAGGCACGATTAGTTGCTAAACAAGTCGACGAAAAAGCAATACAGCTAAAAAGGAAAGTGCGTATATTTATGTAGGAAGCGTAGTCATTTACTAAAAACGATATTTAACCTGACACAAAAATATCAATATATGTATGTATGTATATGTATATGTGTTTGTGTGTGAAAAATTCAGATATAAATAAAATATATCCATAAAAAGACAATAGGAAAAATTTTCTTTACCGACGCGTTTCGTCCTCTGATTGACTTTATCTAGGAAAATATGGGGACTTTATTTTTCAAGTAGTATTTATCGACAGAAGTAAAAATTCCGTTAGGTTTTACAAATTTTTAAATTTAAGACCACTCATAAATATTCTTCAGGCTATCTGTGAAAGTCAAGATAAACTATGGAAGATGCTAAGTGATATAATGCAATACCTAATAAATGAAAGTCAGTAAATGTTGTCATTGTTGTTTTTTCTTTGTTTTTGTTTTTTTTAATGCGATTTTTCAGTCATTTAAATGCCATACGTGATACACGCTTGGGTGATCATGTGTCTTTGGATCCATGACTGACGAGGTAGAAGATATTCCCGCAGTAGGTTGCCGTTTTTTTTGTTTTTGTTTTTTTGCTGTAGACTGGTTGTCAACCAAGAATATAGGACCCAGCTTGTGGTGGGGTATAAGAGGCGTATTCAGGTGTAATTTCGCAGAAGCGAATGCAACGAACTAGACTGGAATTCAAACTCGGCCTTCTGATTTCGCATTCCAAACCGACATCCTTTACGCAACAACACACATCCATGTCACTATTTATTTGTTTAAAATTGAAAATCTAACGATTTTTAATCAAGAAAATAAAAAAAACTCAACAAAGCCAATGATGTATATTCATGTTATATACACAGAATAAACAACTGATGACGTATATAAAAACGGACAAGAGGAATAGGTTTCCAAATACAATTCAAGTTTTCTTGGCTTTGCTTGTTAATAGCAAAGAGACGCGAAAACAGGTTGGAATGTAACGGGGTCCACATTAGCTTACCACTGGAAAATAGGTTAATTTTAGTCACTTGAAATGATTAAAAAGACAACAGTAAGTATATAAGATAAAATTTGATCTCAAAGGTTAAGTTATTGAGTAAACAGCATTCAGACTTTAATCTCTTATAAATGAAAGAGCGACATTTCAAGAACTCTTTACATCCTTCAGACATCTTTGGACGATAGCCGCAATAACTAATCAAGGGAGGTAATCTACTTGGAAATTTAAAATGTCATCACTTCAACCGTCACAGTTAAAAAGAAAAGAAAATCGTTCGAATTGATTTGTTTTCTGAAGTACTGCTCATGCGCATTGGATTCATTTCGGTTTGGCACACCAGTTTTCACGTTGATTCGAATATAAAACTTTAACAATAAAATAACAAAATTCGTGCTATTATTACATAATGTTCATCGTTTCCTTTTATAATTGAATTAGAATTGGTATCCTTAACTTTATCATTTCTATTCCAACTAATATATTCTTCATTAGACGCTCAATATATATATATATATATATATATATATATATATATATACCAGTTAGTAATATCAATGTAATTAATGGCGAATTCTCTTCGCTAACAGACTTAATATAAGCATTAACTTACTAACAATCCACTGAATGACGCGATCATTATGTATAAAATTGTTGTCAGATGGATCTAGTGTATTTTTAGCGCAGCAAGTACTTTCGAAAACTTGACATGTTCTCATCGTCAGGCTGTAATTTTGTAATATTTTTCATTAGAAACAAAACTCCAAAACGAAATAAATGTATTGTAGACCAAAAGATGTTTTTTTTAAGAATACGTTATTTAGTAATTATTTATTATTATTTATTAATTATTTATTATTCCTCTGCTTTATTTCTAATGAAAAAAATTACCGTCTGACGATAAGAACAGGAAGTTTTTGAAAGTACTTGCAGCTCTAAAAATACACCAGAGCATCTGACAACAATTATATATATATATATATATATATATATATATATATATATATATATATATACTATCCCTCACTCGGAGTTTCATGCACAACGCAATCTTCAGGTGGTGAATAAAGACTGGCTGTTACGTAATTTAAACGTAAAAAATATATCTAGTTATCTCAATGTTGACGTAGTTGTATATTATAATGGGATTACAGTTTTTTCAACGTTTTAAAATTATATTTGGCATTTAAAATAAACGGGATTGATATATATATATATATATATATATATATATATATATATATATATATATATAAATGTTTTATAACCGCAATTTATGTTAAAAATTAATTCGAACCAAGGTATTTATTTTTATTCCTACATGCAACCATCGATTCATTTCTCTTGTTAAATAATCTATGGTTATATCAGTGTTTTAAGATAATTTTAAAATTTTTCAACAAGACATAACCTATATCTATATCCTTATATATATTTGTTTACTGTCCTCTGGAGAACTCAGAGCATTTACGCATATTAAAAGCGGTTTTTATTAAATTACACCACCCGTCTCTGTGCAGACAGAAGGGCCATTTTGCTTGCTCTTTCGGTCTTTAGATGCATATGAATGAATTTTTTCCATTTTATACTCACTAGGAAGCCTTCAAATTAACTCTTTTGTCAGTATTTTTTCTTCCCATTTGTTTTTATTACTAAATTTCTCTTTTAATCATGGTTCCTTTTTTTTCTCCTCTTTATTTTTATTTTTCATTTCTCACAGTATGAACTTTTATTCCTTCAATTTAATATTTACCGACGCATTCTTCTGACAAAGTGTTGGTTGAAAAGGATCCTTAATGAAGAATACCTTCCGGCATTTTCAAATCTATATATAGGTTCTCTGGTGTCAAAATTCTGATTACATACAAATGTACATATATATATATATATATATATATATATATATATATATATGGGGGGGTCATGTGTGTGTATTTGTGTTGTGTGTGTGTGTGTGTTTGAATAAAGACAAAAAGAAAACTTATCTTAACTGACACGTTTCGTCTACTGATAGAATTTATCAAGGCAAATATAAGGAATTTATTTTGGAACAAGTATTTATGAACAAAAGTAAAAAAGAAGACGAAAAAGTAAAAATGCTGTTAGTTCTTCAAAATTTAAAAAATATTCATAAGGTTAGCTGAAAATATATATATATATATATATATATATATATAAAGATATATATATATATATATATATACATATATGTATATATATATACATATATATATAAATATATATATATATATATATATATGTATATATATATATATATATATATATATATATATATATATATATATATATACATATATATATGTATATATATACATAGATATATATATATATGTATACATATATATATATATATATATCATATACATATATATATATATATATATATATATATATATATAAATATATATATATATATGCATATATATATATATATAATTTCTCTATATATTATTTATATATTATATGTATGCGGTACTTATTTGAAAGTGCTCAATATCGGTGATAAAGCTAACATACGTAGTTGTATAGAAGTGAGTTTGTAACCCTGCGATTGTCAGATAAACTCACATGAGTTTGTCTGCCGATCGCAAGGGCGTGAAAAAAAAGGGGTTACAAACTCACATCAGTACAACTAAGTATATATACTTGACGGTCGAACTCTCTGCTTTTGAGCAGAAAGGAACCCGGACGAGGTTCCGCCGAAGGGCAGAATCTCGTTCGGGGAGAAATGACCAACCCGATCTCGTTTATACGTGTTCTACGGGCATTTTTTGGCTGAGCCTAGGGCTCGGAAAACCCACGATGAACTCGGCATTGTGCCACATGCAACCCTCGTGGGTTAGATACCGAATCAAGCCGAGTATCTCCGCTTGACGGTCGAACTTCTTGCCTCTGAGCAGAAAGGAACCCGGACGAGGTGCCGCCGAAGGGCAGAGTCTCGTTCGGGGAAGTTGACCAACCCGATCCCGTTTATACGGGTTCTACGGGCAATTTTTGGCAGAGCCTACGGGCTCGGGAAACCCACGTTACACTCGGCCT